CGGTGTTGGGCATAAACAAACAGTACGACTTTGCCGAGGATAGACGGGAACGGCGGGCCGCTTACAATGTTCTGCCCCCCCCCCCCCCCCGTCCGAACCCGTTTGTGCGCCCCTGCAGGTACCTTGTGCTGAGTGTGGTCGTCTCTTCTCCAGGAGTGGTTTGCCTCGTCACAAATGCCTAGGTGAGCGCCGCAAACCTGTATCAGTATAGAGAGGTAGCCGACAATGTTCTGCCTGCCAGCGCTGGTTCCGCAGTGCTGGAGGTTTGGCAGTCCACAAGTGCCCCATCTCCCAGGCACTCCCCACGGCATCGTCTCAAGCTCCATGTCGAGCAGCGGTGTCCACCATTGCTGCTCAGCTCATTCCTCTGAAACCGCGCGTGCGGTTCGATCTCTTATGCTGCAAGGCCCACTGTGAGGCCTGTGGTCGGTGCTGCCGCTCTACTCGTGGCTTCCAAATCCATAGCTGCCGGAGATTGCTCTCTCGTGGTACCAATTGAACATGGTCCCTGACCTCTCGGCAGATCGCCGACTTTCTGCCGTCACTCGTCGTTCCATGTTGTCGGCCCCGCAAGGGGACACGTGACCGTAATGGCAGTGTTTACCAGGACAAGGTGTGTGTGTGTGTGTGTGTGTGTGCGTGCGCGCACGCATATGGTGGTATGTGGGCGTATGTGTGTGTTTGTGTGTGTGTGTGTGTGTGTGTGTGTGTGAGTGCATGCGTGCACGCATGTGTGAATCTGTGCATGCGTTTGTGTGTGTGACAGCTGCCTATAGCGAGATCATGGATGGATCTATAGCCATCAGACTCCACAGCGTGTTGTTATAATGTTGTGCCTGTCGTCTGTGTTGGTGTCAACTTCAATAAACACTTCTTAGTCTTTAACCCTTTGTGGGTCTTACTCAATGTATGTGAGGGGTGGTCACGCAAACACGCGCACAAACAACCAGCCATAACTCAAGTTCTGTGCGTTGTAGGTATGGGTAAACTATATATTTTCAAAATCTGTATGCTTGGACGAGTCCAGAAAACACAAATATGACTATGTCCAGGCAAGGGTATGACCCGTGGTAGCCCTTCAAGTTGAGAGAAAATACAATTGCGAACAAAAAACACAAAAATCACAGCACGAAGTGCATACCAAGTTCGTGATGGAGCTGAAGTCCTATGATAAACAATCAGGTAAGCGCTACGTCTTGGTGAAGAATATATGCTCCTAATTCCGTCCTGGAACTCCAACACGTCGCCATCGGCGAGGCACCAGCAGCAACAGTTCCACAATATCACAATTTTGGTTCGTTCAGCTCAGCGCCGCTCGCGTCAGATTCGCTCGCTCAGATGAGTACGAGACTAGTACTCAGGCGCGATGTCACGCATGCCGTGATTCTCACGGCCAGGCGAATCAGCTGATCGCACCTGACAAGTCCTTGTAAGAGTTGCTGTTGCTGTGCTTCCTCGCTGGTTGGTAAATTTGATTTCTTCATTCGGGGACGATTTATTTGAGCTTGGAGGACTCAACGGAGCTCTCTTTCTCACCACATTACACTGGAAATCCTCCAGGGACATCCAGCCTAGACTGGTGCCGTCAGTTTCCTCAGAAAGCTTTTCTGACACGGCCTCAAGAGATGCACTCCCATTCTCGAAATGCGCGCATGGCGGATGTTCGTCTTTTCCAATTTCACCAGACTTCAGTGAATCAATACTGCAAAAATTTGTATGGTAAGTATGGTTGTTTTTTACACCGTTGGAAAGCCTTGGACCTCAGCTACACGTGGAGCACCATTTTAGTTGTCTCCTAGCAACATAACTCACCGAAAATACGATTTTGCTGTAAGGGTCACATACGACCCTTACGCTTATGTGAGACCCATAAAGGGTTAACTCGGATACTGAGCCAATAAATATAATTAAAATAGAAGAAACCACATGGAAACGAGTTATGAAGCAACTATCCACGACTGTAACAATATATTAAGCAGTCATAAAGTGCGATAACAGGGCACAAAACTGTCATGTTACTGTGACAGTCAACAACCTGAGACCTAGCTCTCACACACCTCCAGTGCGCAAACCAACAGCCTTCAAGCTTTGAAGGTTCAAGGTTATGGTAAGACCAATGAGGGGAAGGTGAGTGCGGCGAAACTGTGCATAAGCTAAGTCCCACGGCGACAAAGAATGCTGACTGTTACAGGACCATGACGGGACCAGTTAATAACATGACAATGCGCTCTAACTACAATTCGAAGCAGCAAAGCAACACACCACCCAACTTGGGTGGGTCAGCAATATCAGAGATAAAGAAAAGGGGCAGCATTTTTTGTTGCCATGGGACTTAGCTTGTGCACATTTTCGCTGCGCTCACCTTCCCCTCATTGGTCCTACATTAACCTTGAACCTTCCAAGTTTGAAAGCTGTTGGTTTGCGCACTGGAAGTGTGTGAGAGCTAGGTCTCAGGTTGTTGAATGTCTCACTAACATGCTAGTTTTGTGCCCAGTTATCGCACTTTCTGACTGATTATCATCTCTTGTTACAGTCGTGGATAGTTGCTTCGTGACTCGTTTCCATGTAATTTTTTCTATCTTTCTTAGTCTTTGTTCACAATATACATACATATGTACCAGTGGACTACTTTTGGACTTTTTATTATTTTCTTGTGTAACCAATAGTACCAGTGAATCCTTTATCAGACCCACTCTGATTTAGCAGTCCATACAATGCGGGATCGTCTCCAAAACCACCCAGGGTCCAGACATTCACCTTGGTGTGAAAAGTGGTCGTTTCCATAGTTTTTTTTTTTTTTTTTTTTTTTACTAAGTACACAACCTACTCGTCAGAAGGGGAGAAGACAACAGATTATGCAATGACAAAACAGCAGGGAGAGTAGGGGCTGCAAAGCAAGCCTGTGCTGGTGAGGCAAGCCCACAACACCGACCTATGGTCTCGGCGTTAACGTGAGCTTGCGCACCATAGCCTAAAAGAAGGGGGTGATTTAGTGCGATAAAGACAAGAGAAGGTGAGGTAGAATGGATGAGGAGAAAGAGAGAGAGAGAGAGGGGGTGGAGAAAGAGAGAGAGAGAGAGAGGGGGGGGGTGGGGGTGGGGGTGGAGAGAGAACAAGAAGAGAGAAAAATAGATTCAAAGGCAGTTCAGATGCAGTGAACATCATGCAATGCTTGGGGGGGGGGGAGAGCTTCAGGATGGAAATAGTTCTGAACTGTTAGAGGGAGTCTGTGGCCCAAAGCCACTGGCATCGGCGAAGATGGTAGTGGACGTTCGCTTTGAAGGATTGTAGGGCCTTAGGAGATGGTGGTTTGGTGAAGAGGGAGGATGGCAGCGCGTTCCAGGTGTTGATGATGTTGTATGGAAAGGTGCGTCTTAGGTAGTTAGGAGCGCCTGGAGGGAGAACATTTTCCAGTTGGAAGGGGTGTGAAGCAGACTGTTGGCATTGTCTCCGGGCTACAGGTGCGGCATGGTGGACGACGAGAGGGGGGACCATGGATCTCAGCAGAGGAGGACCTGGTTGGCCCAGCAGCTTGTAGACGAAAGTCAGTGCCGCCACTGTCCGTCGGGCCTCTAGGCTCTGTAGCAAGATGTTGGGTCCCAGGATGTGGAGGGCACGCCTCTGCACTCTGTTAAGGTGTTCAAGGTTAGTGGGAGCAGCTCCCATCCAGACAGGGGAGCGTACTCGAGCAGGGGCCGGACGAAGCCGTGTAACACGGCCAGCATGCCACGGCAGTCCAGAACACGAGCAGCTCTACGTAGGAGGCCAAGACGTGAGTTTGCCCTGGCAGCAACTGACCGGAGATGGGCGGAAAAGGATAGCTTGGAGTCAACCATAACTCCGAGGAGCTTGAGGTGTGGCTGTTGTGGGATGACCTCCCCTCCAAAGTTTATTGCGGGGACAGGCCAAGGCTGCTGTCGATGGCAGGAGATTCGTAGGAGCTGCGACTTGGATGGTTCAAACTTAACATGCCGCTTTGTTCCCCATGCATGTAACGCATTAACAGAAGCTTGAAGACTGTCAGCTTGGTGTATGGCATCATCGCGTGTATTGACGCAGGCATACAGCGTGGTGTCGTCTCAAATGTTCCCATTTCAGACCCTGTAGCCAGACAGCTATCAGCATCATTTACATATACTAGAAACAGGGACGGTCCAAGGATGCTGCCTTGTGGTACTCCTGCAGAGATCGGATAGCGATCGGAGCTCTTGCCGCCGATGACCACTTCCAGCGAACGACCTGTTAAGTAGTCTCTAAGCCAGTCCAGGAGGGGGCCCTTCACAACGATGTTCCGCAACTTGTGCAGTACACCTGTGTGGGAGACTTTGTCAAAAGCCCCGGCAATGTCGACAGCAAGCACCTCCACAGATCCACCAAGGCCAGATGTGGCCGACCACTTGTGGTGTAGTCCCGTAAGTAGATCGGATGGACCTAGGCCTCGGCGAAAGCCAAATTGCCTTGGTGATAGGAGGTTTTGTCCCTCCAGAAAGTTCATTAACTGGCGGTTGATGATGGACTCCATTACTTTGGAACATATAGAAAGCAGCGAGACTGGTCGGTAATTCTTTTCAGCGGATTTGGAGGACTTTTTGTATACTGGAACTACTCGGGCAACCTTCCATGCCTGTGGTTGGTGGCCAGTGCTGAAAGACAGGGAGAAGAGGCGTGCTAGGGGCCCCGCAAGCTCAGTTGCGCATTCCTTGAGTACCCTAGCTGGGATATTGTCTGGTCCAGTGGCTTTGGAGGAGTCGAGTCTTGCTAGATGTCGTCGTACTGTGTCAGCCCGGAAATGGATCCTTGTGACTGATGGAGTTTTACTGTCGCCAGAGGCAGCAGGCAGGCTGTCCACTGATATGTCGGAGGCAAGACTGCATTTCTTGGAAAAGAATGATCCAAAGCAGTTTGCCTTTGCCAGGTTGGTTGCGCATTCCTGCCCATGTGCATCAATCAGGGTTGGGATATCAGAGGAGCGCTTAACACCAGCGACTGATTTCATCACCGACCACCACTGTTTGTCACGCAGATTACCCGCACAGAGCTTAGCCTGGACACGCCGTTCCCAAGCTAGGCGGGCCGTGTCCATCACAGTTGAGGCATGGTTGACTGATTGTAAAAATGTCTGCTTCAGAGGCTCAGAAGATGGAAATCTCCTCCAGCGCCACCAGGCCTGTTCCTTGAGGACTACTGCGTCCAGACACTCTGGGTTCCACCATGGAGGGTCAGAGGGTGTTGTAGTGTATTGCTTGCACGGGATAAATCGGTGCATCCCGACTAGAATGGTCTCTGAGATGACATCCCAGACCTTGTTGCAGTCGTTATGGGGAGCAGTGACTTACAGCCAATCTACGGATCTGAAGTGTGCCCTACTACTTAAGTTATCTTGTAATATCATAATTAATGGATTGTCCCTCTCCCCTTTTCGGGAGACCCAAGTGACCAGCAACTGTTGTTGTCTGTGAGAAAGAACAAGTATGTGGATATGGATGTACATCAATGTTTGAATATACATGCTTGTGTGTATTCATGTATGTTATTGCATGTGTGTGTGTGCATGTGTGCGTGTGTGTGTGTGTGTGTGAGTGTGTGCGTACGTGTGTGTGTGTATGTATGTGTGTGTGTCCATGCGTGCGTGAGTGCGTGTGTATGTTGCTTGATGTTGTGTTCATACCATTCCTGCATACCAGGGTCGACTGCTATTCGAGGCCTGCGATGATGGCCGCCTGGAGTGTGCCTGCATCCTTGCAGACTGTTGCGAAGAAACAGCGATCAACCAGTTGTATGTCCATCGGGTAGGTCTGTGTGTATGTGTACTTGCATTGCTGACACTGTCCCAGGTACTAAGCACACTGCTCGGTAACTTACACTGACTGGCTTTAAATGTGAATGTCGAGGTGTTTGCATGTGTGCAAATTGTGCATGTGATTGTGTCTTTCTTGGAGGGGGGGGGGGGGGGGGGGGGGGAGAGGTGTAATGTTAGGTAAGGGGGGTGTAATGTTAGGTAAGGGGGGGGGTGTAATGTTAGGTAAGGGGGGTGTAATGTTAGGTAAGGGGGGGGGGGTAATGTTTGGTAAGGGGGTGTAATTTTAGGTAAAAGGGGGATGTAAGGGGGGGGGGGGGGTGTAATGTTGTTCTCTTGCTTTATTCCAAACAACAACTAGCTCTGGAAAGCTCTGTGACCTGATGCCAACAGAATGTGGTGTGCGTGCATGCGTACAGGGGAAGCGGAACATGTAAATGGATAGGAGCACAAACGGTGCCGCGTGCATACATGCGTATGACAGCCCATGCATGTATATGTGAACACTAAATGACTAAGGGGGGGGGGGGGGGGTTAGGGGGTTAGGAGTTACATCATTTCAATAATTTTTTTTAATTTATAGAAGAAAGAGGACCAAGGAACTACAAGTTTTTTAAAGTACGAGAGTCTCGTTCTGCGGCGTGATTTTATGTCAGATATGAGTGAAACACAGCATTCAGGAAGTAAACATATGACTCAGCGCAAATTAGCAACTTAGCTACAGTACTGTTGGTCGTCGAAGAACTGGGTGCGAGGGGGGCTGCCTCCTAGCCTAGACCTTTCTTATTATCATTTACTACAGTCTATGCACAGTTTAGTTACCGTGTATACACCGTGTATACATTGGTATGCTGTATTTGGTAGCTGGGAAATTCTTCGGCACTTCGTTCTTCTCCGCTCGGCAGTACTTTTGACAATAGATGCCCTTAGCAAACAACGGTAACGCTATTTTTTACGGTACTCGTACCTTGACCACCCAAATAGGGTTGAAGCTGCAGCGTAAAACCGTTATGGGGGCTGATTTATCGCTGTGAACAACGGTACATTTTTTGGCCAAATATTGCATAGTCCGTACGGATTTCACCTTGTATCGCGTATATGGTGACATAAATGGTTGTACCGCGCGAAATAAAAGCTATTCTCGTGGCAACAGCGTACTAAAAATTGCGTGCATCTTGCTAAAGGTCGAACCCAAATGACGGTATTTTCCCCGTACGGTAATACCGTTACAACATAACGTTTTTTGCTAAGGGTGTCTATTGCCTGATCTAAAATGCTTTTATAAGATACTGACTGCTGTAGTGAGAACAGTGTGACATTCCTCAAATGCCATATTGAGTAGAATGGGTGGATGCAGGTATGTGATATCGGTGGTATCACTCTGCTCAAACAGGACTTGCAGGTCAATGTCTAGCTACGTCAGGAGTACTCTGCCTTGAAATCCCAAAGGAATTTATCATTATTTGAAACTCGGATGTTGAGCCATAAATAAATGTGGAAAGGAAAAGCACATATGGATACGAGTTAAGAGTAGCTCTCCATCACTGCAACTGGATACTATTATGCGTTGAATATCTCAGTACTTTTGTCAGTTTTGTGCCTAGTTATTGCACTTTCTGACTGTACATAGTATCCAGTTACAGTGATGGAGAGTTACTCTTAACTCGTACCCATATGTCCTTTTCCTTTCTACGTTTATCATTATGGACCTTTTAATCAAATAGCGTTTACCTTAAAAAAATAAAAAAATAAAGTGAAGTCACTAATGGATAGTTATGTCATAGGATGATAGCCAGCTCCTGTTGACCTGCCGTATGTGAAGTAATGATGTATGTCAATCCATTACCCTTACCCTGCCTTATCCCCTATTGAGTACCTCTTTGTATGCTTCCAGCAAGGGTACTGAGTGAGTCAGTAGAGTCCCTACTTCTATTGTTCAGACAACAATGAGCAGAGCATTTCAGACATTTTCTACAAGATTAAAATTTGCTTGGGATGCAGTGTACATAACCATGACCATTGTTTAGTATGGCTTCAGTCAATAGGTATAATACAGTGCAACATCTTCACTATACATACCAATTAGCAGAGATCATATCCAAAACTTGCAGGGCATGTTTCTACAGGCCCTTGCGATCTCAACAATGTTCTTAAAAAGCAGTGAACATTGATACCATTGCGACCAATGATGCAGCTATGCTTGTGCATTTGTGCGCTTGCGCATGTGTGTGTGTGTGTGTGTGTGTGTGTGTGAGTGTGTTCTGTTTATGTGTGTGTGTGTGTTTGTGTGTTCTGTGTATGTGTGGGTTTGTGGGTTTGGGTGTGTATGTGTGTGTGTGTGTGTGTGTGTGTGTGTGTGTGTGTGTGTGGGTGTGTGTGTGTGTGTGTGTGTGTGTGTGTGTGTGCCAGCTAGTCCGGTTCGTGGGCACACTTATGGCTGATTGTGCTGGGTCTGTTGGCAATGGTCTCAGCTGCTTGAAGGTGTAATGTTGTACCTGCCACCTTTGTTGGTTCCAGGGTTCATATACTTCCTCCGTAACAAAAACTTCGTGACTTTTTTTGAAAGCTGCGCACAGCTCTGGAATTGTTCCGTTTTACACGGAATAACACTCGTGGCATTGTCTAACCTGTTTACAAGCTATATACAGAGAAAATACCAACTCAGACGAATGAGATTGTGTTTTTTCAGAGTCTTCGTCGCTCGTGTCATTGTCAGCTGACGACACTGACTCTGCATCGCCAACAGTCGCTGCTACCGCTCGCATTTCGTACAGATTCTTGTCAGCTACAGTGATGATCTGACGCTGGACTTTGGCTATGTCCTCTTCATCTCCAGAGCTGTGTACGAATCGGTGTCGATTATTCAATCGTTCCAAGCCGCGACCTCCATTATGCCGTGAAACGAGTCGTACAAGCACATCCACACGCTTCGCAATTTCTCGCCAGGATAATCCTCCCAGCATTCTACAATGGCTTTGAGGAGGTCCCTGCGATTCCCCTTGGCGACAAAGGAGACGTCTGACTGGAGTGAGACGAAGAAAGCCAGGCCGTCAACATTCTGATCCGAAGTCTGCGCTGGTTGCACGACGACTGAAATGTTTCATCTTGCCGTGCGAGCATGACTGCCGTGGAGAATCTGTTCGGGATCAACCAAACTTACCTCAACATGAATGTGGATTGTCGATGACAGCCTTTGGCGCGGCTCGTTGAGCAGGTTCTTGCTAAAGACACTGTTAAAAAAGTCACGAAGTTTTTGTATACGGAGGAATTTTTTCTATTTGAAGTATAGATAAGTCTCGTTATAAGATAAATTTTTCGATGGCCCAGAGATTATCTACTAACGAGGGAGGACCTGTACATATCTGTTAACCATGGACTGCTTCTGGCTAGATTAACTCTTGTGTAATCAATGGTGCTAGTGAAGCCTATATCAGATCCACTCTGATTTAGCCACCCACACTAGTTGCAAGTATTACCTTCACTGGGGGCAGGGGTAACTGCAGTTGGATCACGGGACGGATACCCTGATGCCGTCAATCCTTTTTCTGCACCTTGTCCTCACCCACTTACTGAGGTGTGGTGAGCTCATAAGTGGCATCATTTTCAAGTCCACCCAGAGTTTTGGGGATTTCAGGGGGTTTCGGCCGTTGGGCGGTTCAATAGCCAATTGAGTCATCTTTCCAAGATTCCTTTCGAGTCTCTCTCCCCTCTCCCGGGGAGAGCCACGTGACCTGTTTTGGCAGTGAGCAATAAGTACAAGTATGTGTGTATATGTTTGTCTGTCTGTATGTGTGTGTGTGTGCGTGTGTGTTCTGCGCGTGTGTGTGTGTGTGTGTGTGTGTGTGCGTGTGTGTGTGTGGTCTGTGTGTGTGCGTGTGTGTGTGTGTGTGTGCATGTATGCGTGTGTGCATGTGTGTGTGTGTGTTTGTGTGTGTGTGTGTGTGTGTTCTGTGTGTGTGCGTGTGTTCGTACGCGTGTGCGTGTGTTTGTATGTACATGTTGTTGGGCTGGCGGTCTGTACATGTGTGGTGTGTGTGGGTATACACATGCCTACATTACCTATGTTGTTCTTACTAGATTGAATGGAGTTACACTCCATATCCATTGACGTGCACGCCACTACATATAGCATGTAGGCACGGTAACATCGATATTGCCAAGCACCTTGTCAAGTGTAAAGCCAAGGTGGACAAGACTGATTGGGTAAGTTGCACACCACTCTGCCTGTACATTGAAGGATGACTCAATATTGGCTCATGTACTAGTCAGAGATGCCAGACTTTGCCTGTACAGCAACCGTGTTTATGTTGGTGAACCACATTGGTGTCTGTTTCGGATTGGAAACTCATAACCATTTTATTACCACAAATATCGACACCCATGGATTATTACACGATGTCCGTGACATGTACGCGCTCATTTTAGAACCGATGCTGAGATTACTTGTAGAATAGAAGACAGTGTGTGGATAGTTGGTGATGGTGAGTAAAGTACTCTGGTAGGCTGTAGGGAATGTGAACCATGTTGTCAGGAACATGGGTGAAACTTACCATCCTAGCACACCATTTCATGCAAGAAGCATGATAATCATTCTGAGGTTATGGGTGGAGAGTATGACGAGATAATTGACTGGTGTCGGTCGAGCGTAACATTGTAAATTCATTCAACAATAATGTGTATTGAGAAGTACATTTTGGAGTAGCAATGTAGCATTGTCGCATGTTTCCTAGTCCAGTCAGTTTCAAACACACCTGGTCTGATATCAATGCAGACATGTAGTGTGATAGATGATGTGTACATTGCAGTTCAAAGGAGTTATGTACGTAGACTATCCATGCCTTTATTTGCGTAATAGACCATTCTCAATGCCAGAAAGTAATGGTTTTATTTGTGTAATAGACCATTCTCAATACCAGAAAGTAATGGTTTTATTTGTGTAATAGACCATTCTCAATACCAGAAAGTAATGGTTTTATTTGTGTAATAGACCATTCTCAATACCAGAAAGTAATGGTTTTATTTGTGTAATAGACCATTCTCAATGCCAGAAAGTAATGGTTTTATTTGTGTAATAGACCATTCTCAATACCAGAAAGTAATGGTTTTATTTGTGTAATAGACCATTCTCAATACCAGAAAGTAATGGTTTTATTTGTGTAATAGACCATTCTCAATGCCAGAAAGTAATGGTTTTATTTGTAAAATAGACCATTCTCAATGCCAGAAAGTAATGGTTTTATTTGTGTAATAGACCATTCTCAATGTCAGAAAGTAATGGTTTTATTTGTGTAATAGACCATTCTCAATGCCAGAAAGTAATGGTTTTATTTGTGTAATAGACCATTCTCAATGCCAGAAAAGTAATGGTTTTTTTTGTGTAATACACCATTCTCAATGCCAGAAAGTAATGGTTTTATTTGTGTAATAGACCATTCTCAATACCAGAAAGTAATGGTTCTATTTGTGTAATCGACCATTCTCAATGCCAGAAAGTAATGGTTTTATTTGTGTAATAGACCATTCTCAATACCAGAAAGTAATGGTTTTATTTGTGTCATAGACCATTCTCAATACCAGAAAGTAATGGTTTTATTTGTGTAATAGACCATTCTCAATGCAAGAAAGTAATGGTTTTATTTGTGTAATAGACCATTCTCAATGTCAGAAAGTAATGGTTTTATTTGTGTAATAGACCATTCTCAATACCAGAAAGTATTGGTTTTATTTGTGTAATAGACCATTCTCAATGCCAGAAAGTAATGGTTTTATTTGTGTAATAGACCATTCTCAATACCAGAAAGTAATGGTTTTATTTGTGTAATAGACCATTCTCAATGCCAGAAAGTAATTGTTTTATTTGTGTAGTAGACCATTCTCAATACCAGAAAGTAATGATTTTATTTGTGTAATAGACCATTCTCAATACCAGAAAGTAATGGTTTTATTTGTGTAATAGACCATTCTCAATGCCAGAAAGTAATGGTTTTATTTGTGTAATAGACCATTCTCAATACCAGAAAGTAATGGTTTTATTTGTGTAATAGACCATTCTCGTCAGAAAGTAATGGTTTTATTTGTGTAATAGACCATTCTCAATGCCAGAAAGTAATGGTTTTATTTGTGTAATAGACCATTCTCAATACCAGAAAGTAATGGTTTTATTTGTGTAATAGACCATTCTCAATACCAGAAAGTAATGGTTTTATTTGTGTAATAGACCATTCTCAATACCAGAAAGTAATGGTTTTATTTGTGTAATAGACCATTCTCAATGCCAGAAAGTAATGGTTTTATTTGTAAAATAGACCATTCTCAATGCCAGAAAGTAATGGTTTTATTTGTGTAATAGACCATTCTCAATGCCAGAAAGTAATGGTTTTATTTGTGTAATAGACCATTCTCAATGCCAGAAAGTAATGGTTTTATTTGTAAAATAGACCATTCTCAATGCCTGAAAGTAATGGTTTTATTTGTGTAATAGACCATTCTCAATACCAGAAAGTAATGGTTTTATTTCTGTAATAGACCATTCTCAATGCCAGAAAGTAATGTTTTTTTTGTGTAATAGACCATTCTCAATGCCAGAAAAGTAATGGTTTTTTTGTGTAATAGACCATTCTCAATGCCAGAAAGTAATGGTTTTATTTGGTAGTAGCAAGGTACATTCCCTAAGTGCCATTTTTCCATTGCAGGATTTTTGAGTGAGTGTGTGTGTGTGTGTGTGTGTGTGTGTGTGTGTATGTGTGTGTGTGTGTGTGTTTGTGTATGTGTGTGTGTGTGTGTGTTTAGAAGCCACTGTCGTGTATCCTGAAATGCTGTGTTCAATTGCTTTTTCCAGACCTAGCGTAGAGGAACATTGCCAATTGAGCAATCAGAGTAGCCTACATTAGAATCCCGGGACTCGCAGTAGATTGCGCATCATACTATATAAGAAACAGACTGGAGATTTAGTGAGTGCACCGGTGAGCGTGCAACACTAGTGCATGTACATGTACTTCCTCCGCGTCATTAAAACTGTCACTTCCCACAGCGATTTTTCCAAATTGTTTTCTACACTCGAAAGGCAAAGAAATCAGCTAGAAATTGAGGCAGAGCATTGTCGAGGGACCAAGCTCTAGTTTGCGGCGTCCCGCTTTGCTTCACTTGCAGCTAAGATCGACGTCTTCATCAGAGTTTGAGAAACACCCCATCAGCACTCAACAATACGCTGAACAAGACGCACGTTCAAATTCAGGTCAAGAAACTTGGTTTTCAAGAGACCTATGCCTCCAGGTGGCAGGCGATGAAGACAAGCTAGCATTTTTCAAGTACGCTGTAACGACCCTCCAGCGGGATAGGGTAAGCAGTTCCGCACCTTCTTTCCTTGGCAAGCGCTTCGCCGATTTTGTTGGGGTTTTCAGACCTGCTACCTTCGCAGCAACATGCGCCACAAGTACCACATTTTAGGAATTTGAGAACACTTTCTTCTGGCCATTGTCAACCTCAGCATTTCATATTCAGGAGAGATACCAGGAGTCTTACACTCGAGCTTGCAGCTTTGATAAATGCCCACGCGAACGATGTGGGACGGCACGAACTCCAGAAAAACGATATGAGCTCTGGGGCGGACTTGTGCGAAGCGCAATGAATTTGCTTGGTGCGGAAGAGAGCTCCGACAATGTCCGAGACCACCACGGCTTCAGTAACAAGTAGACATTGCGCAGGAAGGGTCGCACCAATGTTCGAACACAGAAAACAGAGATTCCGACTATCTGACTAAGATGAGCCAAGTCACAAACATAGCGATGTGCGAAGTGACAATTTTAATGACGCGGAGGAAGTACAGTCAACTTCGCTAATAACGACTGCGGATATAACGACAATTCGCGAATAACGACAGCATTTCCATGCCCAGAGCAAAGTCCCTTCCAACTGTAATACATAATGAGACTTCGTGTATAACGACACTTCGCGAATAAGGACACCTTTTTGATGCCCCGCCGAGTGTCGTTATAAACGAAGTTGACTGTATGTAGCAGCACTCAATGCTTGTAATCTTGACAATCAACGAGTCATAGTGCTAGTATAGTGTAGACCAGATAGTCGTGGCTTTTACTCGAGAGTTGCGACTTCCCGGTGTAGTCATTACAATCATAGGCATACTCACGGCTCTACTGTCTACCAATGTCTGTAGTTTGGCGAAGCTAGGGACCCGGTAAGGCCGATTCCACACTACACCAAATCCTGCCTAAAAAGCCATTTTTCAGGCACTTTTCAGGCAAGTTGCCATGGCGATCACTTTGAGGAACGCGCGAAAGTGAAAAGTGCTTGTTGTCTACAAAGCAACACCAGCACCCTCTTTCAAGGCAACTTTTCACCTTTTCAGGACACTTTCCTGACTTTTCTTCAGCCTTTCGATTTTTTTCCGAATGTGTTCCCTGTCGTATCTTTCAGTTGTGGTGAGTTGTGGGCTGTCAACAATGCCTAGGGTCATGTTTAGCCAGGAGCTTGAGGGCAAGCTGATCGAGCTTTGGAGCGGAAATTTGAGGCGACCTCCGGGCGGTACAGTTCGCAGGAGCTACGCCGGAGGAGATCGCCATCAAGTTGAATTTGTTTGCTGAACAGCTCCGGGAGGAGGCAATCTATACTGCGTCGATCGTCCATTCCAAAATCGACAACATGAAAACGAAGGCGAAAGGACTGTACGAGACATACACAACGAAAACTGCCACCGGAATGCCTGTTGGCGAGGTTGACAAATATTCGACCTATGATCTGGAATCCGCCGCTAGCGTGGTCAAATTTCAAGATTGGGCACGCGAAAATGGGTGATATTCGAGGATTTGGACCAACAAAGATCCTCTCCACTACCGCCGTACCGTTGCTAGATCAAGAACAGGAAAGCCTCACAGTCTAACCTTCAAAGCAAAGTCCCATGATCGACACTTGTAGGTGTGAATGCAGCTTCACTTTATAAGCCACTTTATGCCTTCAAGGCAAAGCCACTTTCGGCGTAGTGTGGAATCGGCCTAACCTGCTAGCCACACATGCGGCAATCTATGCCATCATGGTGTGGGGTTTTGACCGTTGCGCAGTGTCATGTTGAAGGAAAAGGACGAAAAGCATGTTCCGCAATTGCAATTTTTCCCGCCGCGAGGAGCTGAGTTTTGTCTGGGACTGTAGATGGTGGCCCATGAGAAGCTATGCTGGGTTGAACCTGCATT